GTTCCAGAGTGCCATGGGTATTTTTGAGTTGTTGCATCTTGTGGGCCCTGATGCCTGAAAGGAAAAGAAAAAGTTTCTGGTTAGCACGACAAATGAGCTGGAGGATGAAGTGGAACTGCGGAGTGGTGCAGCCCTGAGCCAGCACGTTGCGACGCTGTTGGAGAGAGAGGTTGAGAGTGTGCATGTGACACCACATGGCACTGAGCGTGGATCTCAGGATGTGGCGAGAGCAGCTGTCTGTGGAACATTGAACATCACGGAGATATCTGTGATCCTGGGAGGATTCAAAACATGAGGGATGAAACTTCAGTTGGAATCCACGTGGGGTGAGTCTGAGCCGGAGGCAGTCACTGAGGAATGTGATATGGCTGTGGAAACGAGTTTTAGCAAATACCTGGTCAAACACCAGGAGTGACAGTGAAATTAAAGTCGGTGGGCAAGAAGAGAGATTGGAACGGAAATCCCGTCGGAGAGAGGAGCAGAACTTCTTCAAGGTGGGCATGCCTGGAAGAGATGTGGCAGTGAGTTAAATACTAAATAAAAACCAAAAGAACTGCGGATGCTGTAAATCAGGAACACTTCACCTGCACTTCCAAGAATCTAGTCTACTGCATTCGCTGCTCACAATGTGGTCTGCTCTACACTGGGGAAACGAAGTGTAGACTTGACGACCGCTTCGCAGAACATCTACGTTCTGCTCGCAAAAAAGACCCTGAACTACCTGTTGCCTGCCACTTCAATGCACCACCCTGCTCCCTGGCCAACATCTCTGTCTCCGGCTTGCTGCATTGTTCCAGTGAAGCCCAACGCAAGCTGGAGGAACAACACCTCATTTTCCACTTGGGAACCCTACAGCCCTCCAGCCCTCCGGACTCAATATTGAGTTCAATAATTTTAGGGCCTAAACTCTCCCATGTCCCAGCCCCCCACCCCATACACCAGGCCTTGTTACCACATAGCCTGCAACTACACACCCCCTGTTAGTCACTAACAGTCCCCTTTAACAGCTATTCACCCTCCCAGCCTGATCGTTTGCAACTCCTTTGTCTGTCCAACTGTCTTTCTCTCTCTCTTTGGGCTCTATCCTATCAGTTACTCCCTACCCCACCCACCTCCCTATTTTCTGCATATAAACTGACGTTTTCCCAGCCACCATCGGTTCTGAGGAAGGGTCGCCGGACCCGAAACATTAACTCTGTTTTCTCCTCCACAGATGCTGCCAGATCTGCTGAGCTTTTCCAGCAACTTTGTTTTTGTTCCTGATTTACAGCATCCGCAGTTCTTTTCGTTTTTATATACCACCTTAAGATTGATGGTAACCAATATTTTCCCCATGTTCTGTCGTTGAGACTGACTGTAACCCCTCAGATTGTCTGTAACTAGGCTGTGTCAGTGAGACTGATTGTAATCCCTGAAACAGACTGTAACTGTGCTGTGTCCCTGAAAGTAGACAAACCAGATTGTATGGATGGCTCAATGGCTCATGCTGCTGCCTCACAGCACCAGGGACCCAGGTTCGATTCCATCCTGGGCTGACTGACTGTGTGTGTTTGCTCCTGTTTTCTCCCACAGTCCAAAATTGTGCAGATTTGTTGGATTTACCATGCTAAATTGCCATAGTTTCCAGGGATGTGCAAGCTAGCCATGGGAAATGCAGGGTTACAGGGATTGGGTCTGGGTGGAATACTGTGTGGACTCAATTGGTCGAATGGCCTGCTTCCACAGTGTTGGGATTCTATGAATGACTGTAACCCCTGAGGCAGACTGTAACTGGTCTATGTCCCTGAGACTGAATGTAGCCCCCTGAGACACTGTGACTGAACTGTATCCCTGAGAAGGACTGTAGCTGGTCTATGTCCCTGAGACTGAATGTAGCCCCCGAGACACTGTGACTGAACTGTATCCCTGAGAAGGACTGTAGCTGGACTGTGTTCTCAACACTGAACGCTGTTGAAGTTAAGTGGGGGTCTGTTCAGTTATCAGTGCCTCAAATGCATCTAAATATAGACTAGTACAAGAAACTGATACCTTGGTTTGTTAGATAGAATCAAACTCCAATGTTTGTTTCCTGTACAGAACTGAAATGTGTTTGTGACTATGTCAATGTTCAAGATCTTTTTTATGAATAATTAAAAAAATTAAAATAAAAAAAAAACCTGCTGAAACTGACTATAATCAGACCTTCTCCCCTGTCAGGGCTCAATTATGTTTCCCAGAATTTTTAATTGCTGGTAATAAAATGACTCACTATGAATGATCCTGATTTTAGTACCAGGATTGCCACTCCCTTCCATTGTTTTGTACTCATTAGAAGATATTTACTCAGGCAGTGAGGTCAGTATAATCACGAAGGCAGCCCTGAGAATGGGGGTGGTATCAAATCTTGAGACTGAGCAAGGAATCTGCACAGGTTCAGACTTCACCCGATGAAGAGGCAGCGCTCTGAAAGCTTGTGATCTCAAATAAACCTACTGGACTATGACCTGGTGTTGTGTGATATCTGACAAAGTTCTGGGAAGAGAGATTATTTCTGTTCAATACTTTAAATTTCCAAACCAGTAGGGAGTTTCCAGACCTGACTCAGAGATGTCAGGGGGTAGAGCTGGATGAACACAGTAGGCCAAGCAGCATCAGAGCAGCATTTTCTGAAGAAGGGTCCAGACCCGAAACGTCAGCTTTCCTGCTCCTCTGATGCTGCTTGGCCTGCTGTGTTCATCCAGCTCTGCACCTTGTTATCTCAGATTCTCCAGCATCGGCAGTTCCTACTATCTCAGAGATGTCAGAATTTGTTTCCAAACCAGTACCGTCAACAGCTTACTGAGCACCTGACCCATCCAGAGAGACCCTCCCTTCTCTTTCCATCTCCCACTTAGTCAGACCCTCCCTCACCCCATTGCACACCCCAGAGAGACCCCCACGCTCACCCCCTCATCCCCCCAGACAGACCCTCTCCTCTTTCCTATCATGCACCCAGTCAGACTCTCCCTCTCCCCATTGCACCCAACAGATAGACCCCCACTCTCGCTCCATCATCCCCCACAGACAGGCTCTCCCTCTCACCATTGCACCCAACAGACAGACCCCCACTCTTTCCTTTTGTCCACACAGACAGACCCTCACTCTCACCCCATCACCCCCCAGATAGACACTCCCTCTTTCCCATCACCTACCCAAGTAGACCTCCACTTTCTCTCAATCTCCTACCCAGACAGACACTCCCTCCCTCTCTCAGTCATACTACAGACCCTCACTCCCTCTCTAACAATGTAAGCATTGAGAAATATTGGGAGCTTGTGATGAAGGGACTGCAAAAAAAATGGAGTGACTGCATGCAAACAGATCAGATTGGCAGAAGTATACTGGATAAGGAGCGCTTAGATATTTTTGACATAGTTTCCGAGAGCAGACTGTCCTTGGATGATCGTGAGCAGTTCTGTCCTGGTTATTTAAGGAAATATGTAAATGCATTGCCGGCTGAGCCGAAGGACTGCAAGTTGAAGGGGCAGCTCTCAAGGGGGCAATTGGGAGAATAAGTGCTGGAGGGACATTTTGAAATATATTTAAGAGGGGAGCATTTTGCGCTCATTGACAGTGGGAGAGAGTCTGAGCAGGTTCAGAGAGCAGAAGGATCCCAAGGTGACGGGGGCCATAATCCAGGTCCCAGCACAAAGAGATCTCATCTCCTCCAGCCCCTCCGCAGGTGGAGAATGACCAACTCCGGGATTCCCCGAATTTGTAACAAACATGAAACTGACACAACAAGGTGTAGAGCTGGATGAACACAGCAGGCCAAGCAGCATCAGAGGAGCAAAAAGGCTGACGTTTCGGGCCTAGACTCTTCATCAGAAAGGGGGAGGGGAAGGGGGTTCCGAAATAAATAGGGAGAGAGGGGGAGGCGGATAGAAGATGGATAGAAGAGAGGATAGGTGGAGAGGAAACAAACAGGTCGAAGAGGCGGGGATGGAGCCAGTAAAGGTGAGTGTAGGTGGGGAGGTAGGGAGGACATAGGTCAGTCCAGGGAGGACGGACAGGTCAAGGGGGCGGGATGAGGTTGGTAGGTAGGAGATGGGGGTGCAGCTTGAGGTGGGAGGAGGGGATAGGTGGGACGAAGGACAGGTTAGGGAGTCAGGGACGAGCTGGACTGGTTTTGGGAAGCGGTAGGGGGAGGGGAGATTTCGAAGCTTGTGAAATCAACGATGCCACCCAAAGGTTGCAGGAACAGCAACTCATATTCCGCTTGGGAACCCTGCAGCCCAATGGTATCAATGTGGATTTCACAAGCTTCAAAATCTCCCCTCCCCCACCGCATCCCAAAACCAGCCCAGCCCGTCCCTGCCTCCCTAACCTGTCCTTCCTCCCACCTATCCC